GTTTTGAAGTCTTCATACACTATGCTGACTAATTCTTTCAACCAGAGTAGTTATGAGCCCTCTGAAGATGTTCTAATGACCTGAAAATAGCTTTAAGTTCTAACTGACATGCATGGAAACATTAGGCATTTCGGAGGGGATGTACACATCTTCTACAATAATTCTGGGAATCAATTAATGAGGAGTACAATACAATCCACTTTGGATGGGATGTAGCCAAATTCTTGAGTATTTGTGTTCTAAAATAAAAGACTTCCTGTATCACTTTCAATTTAGGAAGCTCTTTCACTTTATTAGTGCTGTCAAGATTTCTGTTGTGCTGAGTATAAATGAGATCAGCTCTAATTTATCTTTAATTAGATCTTTGGCAGATGTATTTTACAGTTATGAGAGAGGTGTAAGTTTACAACAACAGCTGGGTGTCGGGGCTACACTGTAATCTTAGCACTCTGGGAGCGCAGGCGGGACGGATCACCTGAGGTCAGGAGTCGAGACCAGCCTGAGCAAGATCAAGACCTCATCTCTCTAATATACTATATTATATTATATAAATTACAGAAACTAAACAATAGAAATATTGTCAGGCGTTGGTGGAATGCCTATAGTCTCAGCTCTTGGGAGACTGAGGAGGAGATCGTTGAGCCCAGGTTTGAGGTTGTGTAAGCTAGGCTGAATGGCAGACCTCTAGTCTTAGACAAACGAGGCAAGATCTGTCTCGAAAAAAAAAAATGAGATTACACACAACTGAAGCTAAATGTCAATCTACATGTTCAAACAGCACAATACCTCAATTCATTTTCTTTTTTATATTCTGCAACCAAGAGATCTAGGTCCTAATCTGTTCTGTACTAATTACCTGGACCATCCGAGATATAATTTAACTTTCTGAAATTGCAATGTCCTCTTCTGTACTATATAGTTTTGATTGTTGGATTAAAGTCTCTAAAGATGTAATATTTTATAGTTAATTGCACACTGAATTTCTGACTTCATGAAGCAAGTTTACCTCAGGTTAAAGCAGAAAATTGATTGATAATGAACTGAAGAATCTGTTGCAACATAATCTAGTTCAGAATGGGAATGATCAATTACAGAAACTAAAGTGATTCTCAATTTCAAAGATATTTGGACACGTTTCCTGACCCCCAACCTTTGGCAAAGACCAAAATAACATTACACCAGAGGAATCCTGCTGGCTACCCACGTTAAACAAGTCCTTTCATATTAGTGCAACACAGTAGTCCCCCCTTATCCATGGAGGATATGTTTCAAACTCCCAGTAGATCCTGAAGATGTGTCTACAAAGCCTAAATAATATACTATGTATTCCTATTCATACATGCAAACCTATGATAAAGTTAATTTGTAAACCAGATACAGTAAGAATTAACAATAATAACTAATAATGAAATAGATTAATTATAACAATATGCCAGCATCACTACTCTTGCTCTTTGGAGATATTATTAAGTAAAATAAGGATCCTTGAACAAAAGCACTGCAACATTGGCAGTAAATCTGAGAACTAAGACAGCTACTAAGTGACTAGCATCTGGGTATCGTAGCAGCTTGGTGACAAAGATGCTGAACAAAGGGATGAGTCATTATCCTGGGCTGTAGGAGAGAGCAGGAAGGTATGCTTTCATCCTGCTACTCAGAATGATGCACAATTCAAAACCTAGAAATTATTTCTTTCTGGAATTTTCCATCTAATATTTTTGGAATGGGGTTGACCACAGGTAACTGAAACTGTGGAAAGTAAAACTGCATTAGGGAGACTACTGTATTTCAAGACAGAGCTCTCAGGACCCAATCATCTCTTAGAAGACCACATTTCTCAATACTGCCACATTGAGGATTAAGTTTCAACATGAGTTTTTGGAGGGACAAACATGGAAACCACAGCATACACCTTTCCAGTAAGTATAGAATTAGGAAGAGGCATTTTCCTCAGGTTACAGTTGAACTTATTAGAGCAGAACAGAATAAAATCAGCATGTTATGATGAATGCTTCAAAGTGACAGATTATGAAGGGCAGCGAGAGTAGAAACAGAGCTCTTAGATTTCATAAGCATGTCAGAGTAGGGGTTTGAATAGGAAGCCCTGGGAAATAACTCTGTGAGAAATTTGGAGGAGAAGAGATATACAAATAATAACCTGTCTCGATGTAGTTTTTGTAAGTGAATAATGACAAGGTTGGATAGATATTTTTTTTTTTTTTTGAGACAGAGTCTCACTTTGTTGCCCAGGCTAGAGTGAGTGCCATGGCGTCAGCCTAGCTCACAGCAACCTCAAACTCCTGGGCTCGAGTGATCCTTCTGCCTCAGCCTCCGGGTAGCTGGGACTACAGGCATGCCCACCATGCCCGGTAATTTTATATATATATATATATTCAGTTGGCCCAATTAATTTCTTTCTATTTATAGTAGAGACGGGGTCTCGCTCTTGCTCAGGCTGGTTTCG